AGATAACGATTTTTCTTCTAGGAAAAGACATATTAACGGTGAAAACCGTTATTGACTGTTGAGAAAATCAACCAATAAGGTATCACAAAATTACTGGCGATTTTACTATATAAAAGCGATGTCCAGGATCTTGCAATTAAAGCAGTATAGAAATCTTAGATACTGGGATATTCTAGAAGGTGGCCAATTTCTTCTCGCAATCTAAAAACGACCGGCTTTGTTCAACGAAAGCGTATATAAAAAGACATTTCGTCAAGTGCATCGAACTAATTTGTGCGAAGTAATTGTCTCCTTGGAAAACCATAATCAATTATTTCTAGAACATCAATATCATCTAATATCGTTTCTTTTTCCAACTCCATTTTCCAAGTAGTTAACACACGAACCGACTAGAATTTGCTAGAACGAAAACAAAACCTCGGTTTTATCTATAACAAAACCCTCAATTTCAAAGGTTATGTTACGTATCTAAACTAGTTTAAGAATTTAATCCTCGGAGGTTGGCGGATTAAAGTTAAACGCGTTTAAGGTCAAAACAGTCGACGGTGCATACCGTTTACGATTTTTAAACCGGTTTAAGACTTAATCGCGATTAAAGTCTGTCGGTGCATACGGGCATAAGTGATACTTAGCTAAGATGAAGTTTTACCTGGCAACATTGCTAAAAGTGACAAATTGGCTTTTGCTCCCGCCTTTTCTTTCCAAAATAACGTTTATCTTAGAACTGAATGCGAGTTTGCCGTTACTGTTTACGTCTCAAATTTAATTAATTAATAATATATTCTTAAAGATGGAGTCATTTGAAAATAAAAAACGGACTACATTTTTCCTATAAGGAAAAACCTTGGACTCCCAGTTGGAAGCGAACAATGCGTCGGTATTGCTATGAAGAGGAGCTTCAAAACATTTTAGCCAATAGAGAGCAGGTCAAAATCCTGTTCGAGTTTCAGTAGGAAAAGTTAAAATTGGAATACTTAAAAAGGACTTAAGCAAATAATGTTATTTTCCATTTGTTTTAGTAATGCATCATAAGTTATTTCAATTTAATAATGAACTTTAATTTTCTGTGCGTGGATGTTTAACAGACTTAGCCATTTAAGGCCTTGAGTCTTTTGTGCTGGTACCTCGAGGATACCTGGGTGAGGGTGTTGGGAGGTTTGCTTTTCAGCGGAGGTG